TTTCTTCGTAGTTTATAAAGATGAATGGTGTCTGCTCTTGCTCAGATGGTTTTGAACCCTGACCTGGAGGCATCCGCCCGCCTCGGCCTCCCAGAGTGCTAGGATTACAGGCATGAGCCACAGCGCCCAGCCTGTGGCATATCAAAGAATGCTCAATTCCCTAAGTGTCAATAGTAATTGATAGATTATTTCCTGGTTTAGAAAATGGAAGCTAATAAATGCTATTCCATTCCTCAAAGGACTAGCCTTTGTTTTTGTTTTGAGACTATGTTACTATAAGGTACATTAGAATCAACATTACAGTGCATGCTCCAAAAAAATTTTCCTGATTTCTCTCTCCCTCTTTATGTAGTTTCTCAAGAATAGACAAGATACAAAATACCATAAACAGCATGTTTACAAAGGAGAAGAAAAGAGACTTTTACTCTTGACTTTATTTTCTTATGTACTCTTGAATTTGCTAACCATATGCATGAGTTTATTTCACTAAAAGGAAGGACTTATCTAGCTGGTAGGTGTATGGGCTATTTTGTTTTCCTTTTTATGTTTTTCTGTATTAAAAAAATTTCATAAATGTTACTTTCTAAAATGACGTTTAGACTGGGCACGGTGGCTCACGCCTGTAATCCTAGTACTTTTTGGGAGGCTGAGGCTGAAGAGCTGCTTAAAGTCAGGAGTTTGAGACCAGCCTAGGCAACACAGAGAGCCCCAATTTCTATAAAAAATAGAAAAATTAGCTGGGTGTGGTGGCGCATGCCTGTAGTCCCAACTACCTGGGAGGCTGAGGAGGGAGTACAGCTTGAGCCCAGGAGTTTGAGGCTGCAGTGAACTAAGACAACACCACTGCACACTCAGCCTGGGCAACAGAGCAAGACCCTGTCTCAAAAACAAATAAACAAAACTATATTTAAACAATATAATCATATTGTCAAATTCCAGAACACAGCATGTAAGAGCAGCTTCCTAGGTCATGTGGGTCACTTATGAGCATCTTCTCTGAAAAGGTAAGAGCCAACCTGGTGCTTTTACAAACCTAGACAGTGTACCTTTATCTGTGATGATGTATCACAAACAAAAATAAGTACTTTTTAAAAAAAATGAAAACAAGTTTCTAGCTACAAATTAGACATTAATTAGAAAGAAAAGTTAATTTAACCATATAGGAGAAATTTTACTTTAACATTATCTTAACCCAAGATCCTATTTCAAAACTAAAACTGAGAAAAATGGGAAGCAATGGCTATTCTGCAACATGCCAGAGAAATATTTGATTAATTTGAAACTGAAGTTGGCTAGACCTAAAATCATATGTCATTAACTGTCTTTTTAATACTAATTAATTAAATAAAACAAAAATATTAAATGCAACTTGATCTGGGAGAACAGAGTTGAAGTCACCATGGCACCAGGGACTTTGTGGGGTTTTCACTCCATCAGGAAGTAATTACACAATATTTTCCAGAAGTGAAACAGTGAGTCTAAGTGGAAAAAAATGTGGAAACATTTAGTTAGAACAGTAGAGCAAGGTATTAAAGACCCTTTTAAGGGGTTAACTCTGAAGGGAAATATGCAAATAATTAGGTCTTTAGACATGTTTTTAATTACAAATCTAGGATAAAAGTCAGAGGTATAATTTGGTGCTCGTGTGCTTTTCCTGAATACCCCTTTCCTGCAAAGTGATGAGTGTAATGTTCACATCACTGTGAAGGCCCAGGCCGGCAAGTGAGGACACTTCACAGAGACATCTGCCGGACTCCCTGATGCCTTCTCTTCCTTGCACTCTTAGGAAGGCCACGGTCACGTGCCTCCTTCCACATTTGCTGGCAAGATTTAACCCCCATCTTGGGTGGAGACACATGCTTTTTATCTTTAAAGTCAAAATTCATTCATGCCAATATCTTTTCCTACTTCATGTGAATTTTAAGATTTTTATGAAATCTACTTTACTCATTTCATTTTGCTCCAGTTTCCAGCTCTCCCTGGTTATTTTCAGTGTAGCTATCTCAGTGGGAGCAGTCCTGTGTGGGCCATACTATGCAATTGCTCCCCTGTGTTTTTGGCATGTCCTCATTGCAAGTGAATTTCTAGGGGACCAGAGATGGTTTGACTTAAATAGAGGTGAGTTGGGGAGGAAATTAAAAATACAACATATAATAATTCATAATCTCAAAGTCTGATCCCCCAAAAACCCCCAAATGATTGAAAAGTGGACATGTATTAATACAAATGCTAAATTGCAGCTATCCGGCTATATTTATTGGGTGCCTATTTTATGCCAGGCACTGTTCTAGGTGCTGAGGATGCTTCAGTGAATGGAACAGACAAAAATCCCAGCGCTCATGGGACTACCATTCTAGTAGACTCTGCTCCAGTCCTGCTACACCTGAGAGATAACTCTCTGGACCTCCAATCCAAAAGCCAAAGGTTCCATCTGCAAAGTAGTACCAAATGCAGCCATGGCACCAAATCCCCACTCCAAGGAAGACAGGAACGAATATAAAGTTCTCCCTTGAGTAAACTGCATGGGGACTCTGGGCATGGGGACTCTGAGCTGAGGCTAGACTGAAATAGCAGAACCTAATAGTGACACCTGCTATGGACTGAGTCACACTCCCACGTCCATATGTGAAAGCCCCACTCCAATGTGACCTTTTGGAGTAAGGAAGTAATTATGGTTGAATGAGGTCAAAAGATTAGGGCCCTGAACCAACAGGATTAGTGTCCTTATAAGAGACCCCAGAGAGTGCCCTCTCTCCCTGCGCCACGTGAGAACAGTGAGAAGGTGGCCGTCTGCAAGCCAGCGAGAGAACCCTCATCAGGAACAGAATCGCCAAGTACCTTCATCTTGGTCTTCCCAGCCTCCAGAATTGTGAGAAAACAAATATCTGTTGTTTAAGCTACCTAGTCTTTGTTATTTTGTTGTGGCAACCCAAGCAGACTAAGACAATGAAATACACTCCATTATCAAGAGACCTTCCAATAACACCACAGGGATTTTGGGATATACAAGGTACATCTAGGAAGATGCCACTCTATTCAGCAAGCAGTCAATGAATGCTGGATTTGATTTGTGATGTCCTCAAATACTGCTACAAAAATATGAGATGAGGTCTACCCAATACTGTCTCTAACAGAGACACTGAAAACTATCCTGAATTGACCTGTGCTTCAGATGCTGCTCTACCAACCAAAAAGCACTCATAGTGCTCAGAACCGCACCCCTCCTCCATCCCAGCCTGCTTTACTTTTTTTTTCTTTTTTGAGACAGTCTCGCCCTGTTGCCTGGGCTAGAGTACCATGGCATCAGCCTAGCTCACAGCAACCTCCAACTCCTAGGCTCAAGTGATCCTCCTGCCTCAGCCTCCTGAGTAGCTGGGACTACAGGTGCACACCACCATGGCAGGCTAATTTTTTCTATTTTTAGTAGAGATGCAGTCTCACTCTTGCTCACACTGGTCTTAAACTCCTGATCTCAAACAATGCTCCTGCCTTGGCCTCCCAGACTGCGAGGATTATAGGCGTGAGCCACCGCGCCCGCCCTAGCCTGCTTTACTTTAACAGAAACAAATAAGCATTAAAAGAATAAACTATCATTTTGCTACTTACTAGACATAACTAACTGCTTTCTCTGGGGTAGTACTTCTAATACCTATTCAGGTAATAGAGCACTTTTATGATATAAGGGTCATTGCAAACTATCCTAACACAGTGATGTATTTAATTTTGCCATATCGACTAGATATAATTTCACCAAATGAAGATATGACAAGGACCCAGGTAGATAAGCCTTCATATTTAAAAAGAAACAAAATAGTCTTAAGAAAATCACATTTCCAAAATGTTCAACTACTAGCTATTTGCTTATTTATCTGTTTTGCTAGCATTCTGCAACAAATAGGACCTCAAAGTTTTAAGAAAATTTCAAAGGGAAAAGAAGCCCTTAAAATTGAAAGCATTTTATCCATTATTTTCTCTCTCTGAACTAACTAGAAAGAGACTACCATTTTTCAAGGAACTAAACACTAGGGTCTGGCTATAGAACACAGTTTGAGAACCACTCCTTTGAGTAAAAGGCTGTTTACAAGTAGTTATACCTAAATCTACGAAACAACTGGGGCAAGGAATCCTTGGACCAGTTCCAAGGTCTGGGAGCCATGATAACTTGGATCAGAGGGAAATTTCGCAGATTCAAAGGCAGAAAAGACAACTCATAGGACCAACAGGGTTAACTTACAATTCGTCTTGTATGTTGTCCGTGAGTTTGAAGAGCTGTTCCTGCCCTTCTGCCTGGCTCTCAGAGTAGCGGGGAAGCAGCCCCTGGGGGCCCGTGCAGCAACGTGGCTTCCGAACCCTCTGTGCTTGAGTCCTAGATGAGTGAGTGGACAAAAGGCAAAGAGGTTAAATGTTAAGGTTAAAATGATTTCCCTTCCTCACCTAAAGTAAAAGTACTACTTAATACAAGACATACTCTAAATTTAGTAAACAGAATTAAACCACAGTATTGCCCGTGAATGCACTATAAGATACTGGTTAGGAAATAAAGACATTTTATAATATAATATAACCTGCACTCAAATGTTTATAGCAGCACAACTGGCAATTCCAAAGATGTGGAAACAACCCAAGTGCCCATCAATACATGAGTGGATTAATAAAATGTGGTGTATGTATACCATGGAGTACTACTCAACCATAAAAAAACAATGGTGAACTAGCACCTTATATTATCCTGGATAGAGCTGGAGCCCATACTTTGAAGTATCACAAGAATGGAAAAACAAGCACCACATGTACTCGCCATCAAATTGGTACTAACTGATCAACACTCAGGTGCTCACATGGAAGTAACATTCACCGGGTACTGGGCAGGTGGGAGGGGGTGGAGGGGATGGGAAAACTCATAGCAAATGGGTGCGCAGCGCACTGTCTAGGGGATGGGCACACTTTTAGTTCTGGCTTGGGCAATGCAAAGGCAATATATGTAACCAAAATGTTTGTATCCCCCAAACATTCTGAAATTTTAAAAAAGATAATAAATAAATAAATTGGAAAAACAAAAAAGATAGTGGTTAAAGGCTCCCATTTGACTTTGAATCCTGCGCTACCATTTTCTAGATATGTGATCATGGATGAGTCAGTTAACTTCCTTAACTCTCAGTTTCAGTTTTCTCTGTGAAACAGGATGATGATGCCTACCTTACAGGACTGATCAAATAAAATCATGCCTGTCCAGCCTGTGCCGGACAAAACATGGGCTTTCCACCAATGGTGGCTTTCGTTGTTCTTGCTAGATTCTACTGGTCACACCCCACACCCTCTTTTTCTAAGAATCCCTTTGGGAGAGGCATCCTTGGATTTGCAGTGGGTCCAGAAGACTGAGGGACCTTGGGTATTTAGTAGGAACATACCAAGTTTCTAGACTTCTAAGATGCCTTAATTTGCTTGGGTAAAGGGTGAGGGACACAGGAATCACGTGAGGGGAAGAAATGCTCCCTGGACCAGTCCCAGGCCACAGTCTGGGACTCTGCAGCGGCTCTAACTCATGCCGCTTAGCTGTCGGTTGCCCAGAGGAATCTGCTTTGCTATGGCTTTCAGAGTAGGCTGATGTTGTCTTTTTCCACAAACCATATACAGGGTAATTGATAAGTACTTTTTGGTGTTTTCCTAGAAACAGGAGTCCATATTTGTCTTGGAAAGGCTGTGCATATTTCAGATGACTGATAAGAATGTACTGGGTCTGTCCTCGGCCTTGTACTTGCTGTACTTTTTATTATTTGTTCCTGGAGCCCAGTGAAGCAAAACACCCTCTCCAGACATATCCAAAAGAGAGCAATAGGCTTACACACTGAATCAGCACTTCAGAGCCACGGACAGTAGTGCACAGACTTACTTAGAAGGGCAGAAAGTGCCCTGGTGGGCAAATCAGATTAGTAATATGAACAGAAACAATCAAACACTCGACACAGGCCATGCAAGAGGGGGGCTGCGAAGCTGAGATGATGGCAAAGTGCTCCTGAACCCCGGTCAACATTCAGTGCATCAGGCCTTGATGTCCAAAGGACAGCTCCACACCCAGGTGAGGTTTGGCATGCACTGGAAAGCCCGGAATCCACTGTTCATTTTTCAAAAGTCCAGTTACGAGGATGCATTAAGTACTATTAATTGTATTCTTCAAGGTGATGTAAAGAGATTGTAAGGAAGTTTCAATGCTTTGTACTGAAAACAGAAAGGGTAAAAACCCAATTTTATTTCTAGCATATACTCACACATCATACTTTGCCTAGTCTCACTTCCTCCTTCAAGACGCAGGCCTACTGCGGCTATATGGAGGTCAACTACTGATCGAAAGTAGGAAGCGCAGCACAGGCAGCCACTGCTGACCCACCAGTGGAGAAGCCCGACAGGGACTCTGGCAACGCTGCAGGTAAGGGGCTGGGTGTATTCTCCAGGTCGCAGGGCCCTGTTCACGTCTCCCTGTCTAGTGAAGCACCTGCTGTCACCCCAAACGCAGCCCAAACAAGCTGGTAAGTAGCCTTTTGCCAAGGCAGTCCTACTATTCCTTCACTCAGGGAGCTTCTAGAAGAGGTTCGGGCTATCATGGCAGAAGCCCAAAGGCCTCTGAGAGAGGAAAGGAATATGGCACAGTCTGCTTCATCACCTCTTGACGTGAGATTTGATTCTATCTCCTCTCACTACATCTTCCCCAATCTACTGGGAGGCCTCACCTTCAATATTTATCCCAATCCAACCATTTCTCCCTCTCTATCAGAACTCACAAATGATCTCTGGATCTATAATGTATTATTATGACAGCCTCATAACTTATTCTCTCTACTCCACCCATGTCCAATTTCCTCATGGCCATGAGAATGGTTCTTTCAAAATATAAGTTAGATCAAGTCAGTCATGTGTTCAAAACCCATGTGCTTCACATCTCACTTGGATAAATATATTTACTTATTGCTTAACACCGTCCCCCCCTCCCCCAATCTGGAATGTAAGCTCCATAAGAAGAGGGATTTTGTTCCATTCATTACTATCCTGGACCTAAAAGAGTGCTGGTGTACGGTACCAGAGCAGTAAGAATTAGTTGAATAAATGAATGAACACATTTGTGGGTGGTGGATGGTATAAGAGTCATTACTTGAAAAAGACAGAGGACATGCAGACTTTTGTGGACAGTTTGAAGACTGGAGATTTTGAGCTTTGAAAGCCAACAATCAATGTTAAGGCACAGTGAGAGCCAGCTAGAATCCCCCTTTCCTGACAGAGAGGTCAAGGGTGTCTCTGTCTGGTCCACTGATTAAAACAAAGAAAGAGGCATAAAGGCAATGACATATAACTGACATCTCTGTTGACATATGTCTTTTTTCTTACAAGGAACAATCTTTTCAATATTACCCAAAACATGCTACCAAGTAGGAGAAAATTTAAGTCCTAAATTCCTCTGGTGGGATCCAAGGAAGCCAAAGAAACCAAGGAAAGGTGGTTTGTTTCTGGGCCTGAGCTCTTGGAAATTACATCTCATAACAACCACAGGATAGCTGAGAATGTAAGTAAATGTGCCCCATCTTCCCCACTACCAAAGAGCTGTCTAAAACATTTATTTCTCGACTCGGTGGCCTTCCTCAGACCCCTCCCCCAATTCTGATGATCCAACCTCACCTCCTGCTATTCCCAACACATTATCATCTAACTTGCAAATTACAAACTCACTGAAACATCAGAGACTGCGAAAGCAGAGAAGCTCCCTTGTGGGTATACACTGCCTATTTGTTATGTTTCTTTTCTTATCTGTCTTCCTAACAGGCTGCAAACTCTCTGCCCATTTCCAAGGTCCTCACTTTTTGATCAAACAAATACCAAGGGCAAGGCTGGATACGGTGTTCAACAGTGCAGACCACAGGAGCTCAATGTGCCATTCAAGGCTCATTCTTCTATCAACATAGAAGCAAAGAAAGTTAAATTTTACCCTGAAAGGAAACATCTTCTGTTATAGTCTTATAAATATAAGGATTACTTCCAGAAGCGGTGATTTAGACATACTCTTACTAAAAGTAGAAAGCTGGATTAAAGGAATTCTTCCCACATTCCTTAATACCTTATCATCGTTGGTGTCTGAAAAACGACTCTATTTTCTCTGAAACTCAACTAAAATTTTAACTTCTTAGGTCCAATTTGGTAGGCTATGGGTGGGGTGGGAAAGGGTGGTGTTTAAAGTGACTGTGCTTGAACAAATTTAGTCTCAAAGTTAATCAAAAGAATTATTTAAAAAGACAAGCTAGCAAACCTCCTAAGCCAGCAGAAAGTCTGAAGTGATATTCTTCAGTGCAGGCCACCGTGTGATGGAACTGTTTTCTCCATATATTGACGTGGCACTATAAATCCAAATAACCCTTTGGAACTAGTATAACTGTATGCAACAGCAATCCCAAATTTGTTCATGCTCTGTGACTCCGTAATACAGCCTGTCCACTTTTAAATGCCTTTGATGTATTTCCCAGTGAACCTATTGAGCACCGGGAGGGAAAGGACTCTAGTTCTATTTTTTTTTTTTTAACTGGACTCACCATTATCCTTAGTTCAGGGCCCACCATCAGCACTGGGCTCTATTTATTTGAAACAAATAAACACCTGTGAAACCACCACGCCCAGCACAAAAACTCCACTGGTGATCACGTAACTCTATCGGTGACCATGTGACTCCATTGGTATGGTCTTCTGCCACATCAAACCCCTGTTCCTCTTCTACCTAAGACAGCGACTGTTTTGAATCTTTTTTTTATAATTCTCTGCTTATCTTTTTTGTGTAGTCTTAATCACATTTCAAAGTACATTTGGGCACATTCTTGTTATATTCTTTGGGTTTAGTTGTTTGGGGCTTTTTTTTTTCCTTTTATTTTTATTTATGAAAACTTCACTTTGATGTTTTGGGCTTTTGAATAAAGAATATCACTGTCATATTGCTAAAATTCAGCTGTTAGGCTGGGCACGGTGGCTCACACCTGTAATCCTACCACTCTGGGAGGCCGAGGCAGGAGGATTGCTTGAGGTCAGGAGGTCGAAACCAGCCTGAGCAAGAGCGAGACCCCATCTCTACTACAAAAGTAGAAAGAAATTAATTGGCCAACTAATATATATAGAAAAAATTAGCCGGGCATGGTGGTGCATGCCTGTAGTCCCAGCTACTAGGGAGGCTGAGGCAGAAGGATGGCTTGAGCCCCGGAGTTTGAGGTTGCTGTGAGCTAGGCTGGGCAACAGAGTGAGACTCTGTCTCAAAAAAAAATAAATAAATAAAAAATAAAATTCAGCTGTTATTTTGTATGCGGCTCTAATTCATTCATTGTGCCTGCTTTATTAATATTTCATTATATGACCATTCTATCATTTATCCAACTTTCTGTTGATGACATGTGGGTTATTTACAGGTTTTGCTATTACAAATGATGCTGCGATGAACGTTGCTATACATGTCTCCTGGTGAACACTGAGAATACATGTAGGAGGTATTTGCAGGATCATAGGGTATAAATGTTTACCTAACAAGATTAATTTGAACTGTTTCCAAAGTGGCTGAACCGTTTTTATGCTCCCACCAACAATGCATTTAAGAGGCCTTTCCAACACCTGGCATTGTCTAGGATAGCACTGCCCAATATGCAGCCACTAACCACGTGTGGCCACTGAGCACTTGAAATGTGGCCAGTGTAACTAAAAAACTGAATTTTAAATTTAATTTACATTAATATAAATTTAAATTGTGTCTTGGACAGCAATGGTCTAGACTCTTAAATCTCTGCTGCTCATATGGGTATAAAATGGCATTGTTTTTTCATTCCCATCTTCTCCTTTCAACCTAAAGCATAATGGTATCCATTAAAAAAAAAAAAAGTAGAGTAGCCCTAGATCCTGTCATTGGCACTGCAGCAGAAAGATCAACCTCTAAACTACCCTGGCCCACCACTGTCGTACCAGCCTGTGGCTTCCCCCTGTGGCTGTGCCCCTTTCGCGGTGGCCAGTGTTAAGATGTGCTGCTATGTGGGCAGGGGTTGGTACTACAGTCTTGGGGATAATGGATCACTAAACAGGAGGCGGCAAAACCCCACCCACTCGCGTCTCATCAGTCGACAGCATCTCCTAGGAACCAGGACTCAACAGAGGGGAAGGGCCTGCTCCGTGCACAGGCAGCCGCTCTGCCTCCACAAACCTTTGTCTGGCCAAAGGTCTGCGGTGTATTTAATTGCTGCCAGCTGGGGCTTGTCGGCCATGTTAAGCCCTCAGCTGCTGCGGTTTATAAATTTCACAGTGTATAGAAAGAAACAGTCCTTCCAGTCAACCAGCTAATCCAGAATGTCAGCACCAAACGAACTTGAGCTTTGAACTCCATGAAAACGTCAGGGAGTCCGCTGTATGGCAGGGAGGACTCTTCCCCCAGGGCAGGGGCTGCCGATGCAGTGGCTGATACACTGCAGATACCCACCCAGCGAGAGCAGTTATCGCAGAGTACGTCTGTATCTGGCATCGCTCTCTGATGTAGAGGCCCAACACCAAAGATCAGAGTAGTAAAAACAATTCATGTCACTTTCTTTAAGCAACAATAAATCCAAACAAGGTGACACAGGAGATCTAACCAATTCCACTTGGTTGATCTTGCCTTTCAGCCTGAGGGTCAACGGTTGGCCAGTCATTATTTGTTCTTAGCTTATACGATGAGTAACCATGTCATAGTTCTAGTAGTTGAAGACAGATGCTGCACACATACACATACCCCTGCGCAGCCTAGGATGGTAGTTGGCTGAGAAGCCTGTCATGGCCAATGTCTGTCAACCAAGTGATATTCCAAAACAATCAGTAAATGAGTAAAAGGTGTATGTATCAAACACACGACTCCCTAGCATAACAGAATGTTTATTCAATTGATGACTGCCATGTTCCTTCAGAGTTATGTGCACTGACCTCAACGAAGTGATGGATTGTGCTTGCACTTGCTTTATGTATGTGTCCAGGACTTTTAATTATCTTACTGATATACACTGTGCTCGACTGAGCACAAACAATTAGACTGAGAACAGAAGGTCAGCCCTGACTACCTCTTCAAATATTGTTAACTGATAACAGCCACAAGATACCAGGGTTTGACTGAATGGCTCAACTGAATATTTGTCATTTCTCCAAAAGGAACCCAACAGTCTATCTAAACAGAACTCTCTGCACTGGAGTAGATGAATTGGTTAAAACTCCCTCTGACAGCCACAGCAATATGGTGTCTGGAACTCTAAGAAGCCTTCCATGCCATGGCTGCATCTGATATCTGACCTGTAGACCTCTCCTCTCTGCTACATGCATCTACTTTCAAAGACTAAGTGGAAAAGGATTTCTTCTCCCCAGATTTTACTCCTTTGCACTCCTTTCAGTGCAAACTATAAAACAGAGAAGATTCTACTAGACAATGAAAACCTCTAAAGTTTGGCTCAATTTACATGAGAAATTCTTTCCCATAGTTTTAAGACAAACTGAAACCCACCTTCTAGAACCTACCCAAAGACAGTATCCAATCCATAGGTTTAACAATAACTACAGAGCTCTGGCTGCATTAAATCTTGAGTCAAGAAAATTGTACTAAGGACCTACTTGGACAATTCAGATTTTGGACACATGGAAAATAGGTTGGGAACCAGGAAACCCTATGTCAGTAGAGACTGGTTCTTAGATGAAATTACTGAGGATACAAACTAAGGTAGTCAGAAGCATGAGACTGCTCTGAGTCCCAAGAATGGCTGGTGCCTCCTCTGTACTCCACCCCCACCCCATGTAATGACCCTTTCCTGAGCTATCACATGCGTAGGCCAGTGCAAGGCCTTGAGGAAGACAGGATGAATAGAGTTCCTAGAGAATTTACTGGAGTTTAATGAAGGAGATAAACAAAAACAGGCAATTATAGGCTGGGTGTGGTGGCTCACACCTGTAATCCTAGCACTCTGGGAGGCGAGGTGGGTGGGTCGTTTGAGCTCAGGAGTTCGAGACCAACCTGATTAAGAACGAGACTCCATCTCTACCAAAAATAGAAAAAATTATCCGGGCATGGTGGTTCGTGCCTGTAGTCCCAGCTACTTGGGAGGCTGAGGCAGGAGGATCACTTGAGCCCAGGAGTTTGAGGTTGCTGTGAGCTAGGTTGACGTCATGGCACTCTAGCCCAGGAAACAGAGTGAGACTCTGTCTCAAAAAAACAAAACACCAGGCAATTATAACACAGCCAAGGCAGCACTAGGATAGAGGCAGTGTAATACAATGGCTGAGAGCACTAGCTCTGGAGCCAGGCTGCCTGGGTTTGAATCCCAGTTCCGCCATTTATAAACTGTAACCTTTGGCAAGTTATGTACCCTCCGGGAGCCTTGGTTTCCTCATCTGTAAAAGGAGGGTACTAAGGGGTTGTTGTGAGGAGTAAATAAGCCAATATTTGAATAAGTAAATAAATAAGCACAATACATGTATAGTGATTAGAACAGTGCCTGGTACATAATAGACACTCAAAATCCTACCTATTATTTTTGTTAGTTTGTTCTAATAAGAGGATGGCATGAGTACACACGGCGGGCCCTAACCCGGCTGAGGGGGCTGGGGCCTAAGATGGGCCAGGGCACAACATCCAACCTCTGGCACTGTTTTTCTACTGGGGAGGCTCACTGCTTCTAACTGAAGTTATTTTCCTTTTCCTCTTGCTTTCTTGTTAACATTCTACTCACCTCTCCCTAGAGTTCTGAAGTCATACGTGTAATAACACATAAAATCCCACATTGCTCTGCTGCCACTAAGGATGTGGGAAAGAGGCTGATTGAAGAAATCATTAGAAATTGTATTGATGTTGTTAGGTTTTTAGTAATTTGACATCCATCAGCAGGGACAACCTTTCCTGGGCTGGGCTTTTCCCCATCAGTGGGATTCACACCTGACTTGTTTATAGGGGTCAAGGCATCCCATAATCTAACACATGGTTTGGGGACCCCATGACATTGCAACTGTGACAGCTGGTAGGACTAATGCCAACAGATATGCCTAGTGGGATTTAAACTCTAAGACAAAAACACTCCAGATTTTTTTTCTTAGTCAACTGCCACAGGGGTGAGACTACCTGTTAATTAGGCTGGGTGAGAAGGGGCAAGGCAGACTCACTTTATAAAGAATTCCAGCCAAATGGATAATGTTACAGCAAGTGTAGAGGCTAACAGCCTTGGGTTTCCTAAAGTGCCATAACTTTTGCATGTTTTCTGGGATTGCTTTGCTTTTATAAAAATAATAGTAGACAACCTATAAGGAGATTTGCAACTTTCAACATCATTTTAAGAACGAAGAAGCACTTTACAAATGCAAGGTTTATTTATGTTCTATGTACAACATTCAGAATCAGAGAGTGTGGTGCTTACTGGAATGTCTCAAGTCATGGCCAAATTCCTTGTTAACCTGTCACCTCTAATGCCAATCCCAAGCTATGTCATATGGGCCAAAATACACAATTTCTGATAAACTTGATTTTGTGGCTATTAAATATAAATGCTAATAATAACAAGCTGGTTAAACTAAATAAAGTAGGTATTTTTAGATTCACTTCTGGCAAATAATTACATAACTTCTTTCTTTTAATGTGATAGTTATCTACCTTTCCCCCAAAATTGATCTCTTTTAAGAGATGAAATTTATGAGCAAGGTAGTATAGAGATGAACAAAGGGCTTTGAAAAAAGACAAACATAGACTGAAATCCCAGTCCAGTCACTTATTAGCTGGGTGACATAGAAGAAGTTACCAGATGGCTCTCAGCCTCAGTTTCCTTATCAATAAGTGAGAATGTAATATCTACTTGGTGATAATGTTGAGATAAAATATGAAAGTGCACAGCATAGTAGGCACATAGTAGGTACTCATAAAAGTTAACTGTCTCCTTCCCTCCAACCCTTATTCAGAATGATTGGGTGTCATTTCAATTTAAAATGCCAAAATGCAACACTGCAGTATTTAAAACTCTATCTTGACAGAGCACTACGGGGGAAAGATTTATTGA